TTTATATATATACACATATATATATACATACATACATATATATTTATATAACACCCAGCAACGATATTAGGGGTGCAACGATACTCGTATCGATATTGAACCGTTCGATACAGTGCTTTCGGTTCGGTACGCATATGTATCGAACAATACAAATTTTTAATTTATTTTATCAACTTTCCTTCTGACGATGCTGTCTGTGTTGAGCGCTCAGTGGATCTGCTCGACAGTGCAGCCTAGGCGGAGTAGTCGAACGCAGATTCACTGAGCGCAGGGCAAGCTAGCGAGACAGAAGTTAAGCTCTCCTTGCAACATGGCAAATTGAACCTCCCCCACCCTCATTCAGATCTGGCGTTTGGAATTATTTTGGTTTTCATGTGACGTATGACCCTGAAGGTAAGCGCGTCATGGACTAAAGTAAAACAGTATGTTGGATGTGCCATGCAATGCTCAATTACATGGGTGGGAGCTAGTGTGTGTGGCGTGAATAAGGCACGGCGGGACCACGGAGCAACGTTCAGAGCCAACTTTATTTAATTGACGTCACACCACACACACACCAACCCCTGAGTCCCCGTGTTTTAACACGGCGGGCGTGATTGCGGATGCCGTGCAGGTGCGTCCGCACGGCACCGCAAACCACGCCCCACCACATACCCCCATCACCCGATTGAGGCCGGGGAGCAATCTGGCCGAACCTACTCCCCCCGCGAACTGGGGCGAGACTCGGCCCAAAACATCGGCGCCCCAGCCCAAGCGACGGGGAAGCGTCCATTCTGGTGGCCGCCCGCGCATCCAGCGGCAACGGCGAAGTTGGTCCGGAGGTCGGCCGCGTAGCAAGCGGACACGGCCCCACAGGCATGGCCGTGAGCTCCTGTACACAGGCGGCTGGGCAGACGTCAGGCGCGCAGAATCGACTGGTGGCAGCGAGGCTGGACTAGCCAGCCCGCCGACCCCCGGCTTAGCGGGGCTGTCCCGCTCCTCTGCCTCCAACTCCGGCTGCGCAGGCTGCCCTGGAGCAGGGACCTCCGTCTCCTCGCACAGCTGCTCCGCCACCGCCTCCGCCACTCCCGTTTGGAGCGGCTCCCCGCACTGCGCCTCCGCCTCCAGCAGGCACAGCCCCTCGTCCACCTCTGGGTGGAGCGACTCCTCTTCCTCCGGCAGGTGTAGACCCTCGCCCGCCTCGTCCTCCGCCTCCGATTGGAGCGGCTACTATGTATATATATATATTTATATTTTTTTATATATGTTTATATTTGTGTTTGTATATATATATATATATATATGTATGTATTAGAATACACTCAACAAAAATATAAACGCAACACCTTTGTTACTGCTCCCATTCCCCATGGGATGGACGTAGAGACCTAAAATTCATTCCAGATACACAATATAACCATCCCTCCCAAACAGTGGTCACAAATCAGTCCAAATGTGTGGTAGTGGGCACATCTGCTATATTGAGATAATCCATCCCACCTCACAGGTGTGCCACATCAGGATGCTGATCTGACATCATGAGTAGTGCACAGGTGTACCTCAGACTGCCCACAACAAAAGGCCACCCTGGAATGTGCAGTTTTTTGCGCTATTGGGGGTCTGGGGACCCAGAACCGGTCAGTATCTGGTGTGACCACCATTTGCCTCATGCAGTGCAACACATCGTCGCATGGAGTCTATCAGATTGTCAATTGTGGCCTGTGGAATGTTGGTCCACTCCACTTCAAATGGCCTGCATTTGTATAGCGCTTTTCTAGTCCATAGGACCCCAAAGCACTTTACACTACATTCAGTCATTCACCCATTCACACACACATTCACACACTGGTGATGGCAAGCTACATTGTAGCCACAGCTGCCCTGGGGCGCACTGACAGAGGCGAGGCTGCCGGACACAGGCGCCACCGGGCCCTCTGACCACTTCAATGGCTGTGCGAGGTTGTTGGATATTCGTGGGAACTGGTACACGCTGTCGTATACGCCGGTCAAGCACATCCCGAACATGCTCAATGGGTGACATGTCCGGTGAGTATGCTGGCCATGCAAGAACTGGGACATTCTCAGCTGCCATCTGCCCTGAACAATGTGAACCATGATTCATCCGTGAAGCGCACACCTCTCCAACGTGCCAGACGCCATCGAATGTGAGCATTTGCCCACACAAGTCTGTTACGGCGACGAGCTGGAGTCAGGTCAAGACCCCGATGAGGACGACGGGCATGCAGTTGAGCGTCCCTGAGACGGTTTCTGACAGTTTGTGCAGAAATTGTTTGGTTGTGCAAACCAATTGTTCCAGCAGCTGTCTGGGTGGCTGGTCTCAGACGATCTTGGAGGTGAACCTGCTGGATGTGGAGGTCCTGGGCTGGTGTGGTTACACGAGGTCTGCGGTTGTGAGGCCGGTTGGATGTGCTGCCATATTCTCTGAAACGCCTGTGGAGACGGCTTATGGTTGAGAAATGAACATTCAATGCACGGGCGACAGATCTGGTTGACATTCCTGCTGTCAGCATGCCAATTGCACGCTCCCTCATTGCTTGTGGCATCTGTGGCATTTTGCTGTGAGACAAAACTGCACATTCCAGGGTGGCCTTTTGTTGTGGGCAGTCTGAGGTACACCTGTGCACTACTCATGATGTCAGATCAGCATCCTGATGTGGCACACCTGTGAGGTGGGATGGATTATCTCAATATAGCAGATGTGCCCACTACCACACATTTGGACTGATTTGTGACCACTGTTTGGGAGGGATGGTTATATTGTGTATCTGGAATGAATTTTAGGTCTCTACGTCCATCCCATGGGGAATGGGAGCAGTAACAAAGGTGTTGCGTTTATATTTTTGTTGAGTGTATGTATATATGTATGTGTGTATGTGTATATATATATTAGATATCATTTTAGTTATTAATCTTAAAATGAAAAAAATCAATAAAACAGATTTATTTAAGAGATGTGTCCTATACCCCTCAGTAATACTCAGGTAACACAGAAACCTTTTATTTATTAATATGATTCTCTTGAGGTTAATTTTACAATTTTTTTTTATTGAAATCGAGGGGTATAGTGACAAAAAAAGACCCAGAGGCCCACACCAAAAGTATTAAAACCAACATTTTCATGGATAAGGAAGCCTAACAAGGTAACCAAGAGATGAGAAACAAATTGGATGATAACTTATTGTGTTTAGTGTATTTTATAGCTGATTTAATTCACGGGTCAAAACCGACCCGTTAACATAAGAGATGATAACAGAAAGCTAACACAAGAGGAAAGTTAAAGGGACAGGAGTGCAGAGACTTTGTCCAACTCCAGGCCTCGAGGGCCGGTGTCCTGCAGGTTTTAGATCTCACCTTGGGTCAACACACCTGAATCACATGATTAGTTCGTTACCAGGCCTCTGGAGAACTTCAGGACATGTTGAGGACCTAATTTAGCCATTTAAATCAGCTGTGTTGGTTCAACGACATGTCTAAAACCTGCAGGGACGCCAGCCTTCCAGGCCTGGAGTTGCCCACCCTTGCCCTACGACATAACAATGAATGGATAAAGTTTTACAAACTCACACACTATAAATAAAAATCTCAAGTTTACACTTTGTAGAAGCCAAAGGTTTCAGCCTGTTCAGAGCTTTGGTTTCCACTGGATCATCTCCAAACTTTAAAGCAATATATTAGTCATTGGGGAACATAAGAACTTTCTTTGTTTGAGCTCTTTAAAACATGTTTCAATACACCATTTTACAACTTCACAGTAAAACAAGAAGATTAATACACTACACTAGATTTCTATGTTACCAAAGCTGACATGAGCATTAAACATCAGTGTTTTAGTTTAGCTCTTGGCCTTTGTGGGGAGTTGTGCTCTCTCTCTGTGCTTTTGAGGTGGGGTCTGTCGCTCTGATGCACATATTTTGGGAGACTCACGTTGGGTTATGTCGTAGGTTTTCAAAGGGTTTTGCAGATAGGACACAGCCATGGTGGAGATTTCCTGCTAAAACATAAATCCTGAGTAACTGAGTTTAACATAATTATGTTTTTTGGACTGACTGCATTTTAAACATGACGTCAAAATATCAGTTGTGTTGTGTCCCTGGGGAGAAACTGTTAGAGGGGGATTAAACATTCACACCAAACCATTTTCTCTGTGTGCTCTTATTTTTTAAAATTCTTTGAACCTTTTGCTCTTTGACTACTCTTCTAATGGCTCTGTCATTCCCTCAGGACTTGGCTGACACGACTAGTACACGAGCTTTACATTGAAGGCCCAGAGCACCAAGATTCATGTTTTTACAAACAGAAAAAAGTTAAAATAATAGCGAAAAAAATGAGCCACGCCTTCTTGCTGTTCTGTTTACAGTGAAGGCAGGTTTAGAAAGTCGGTTCCAAGCTTTTGAAATGTGGATAAACTTAGTGAAAGTCAGAAAAACATCAAAATAAGAGAGAAATGTACAGTATCTCCAAAAGTGGCACATATACAAGCCCTCTGTCTGTCTGCCCTCACTTACCATCACCTTCTCTGTCTGGGTAATGAAAGCCAGATGTATGTGCATGAGGCCTTCGTTCACCCTCCTCCCACGCTCTAACTGTGCCTCTGTTTCTCTCTCTGGGGTTTCCTCTGCAGGCTCTATGCCTCTCTGTCCCACCACCAACTAAGCAGGAAATACTCTCGGTTCTTGGCCAGAAGGGAGGGTTCTGTTTCTAACTACTACCAGATGGAGGAATGAAGGAATGGAGAAAAAGCTATAAACGGACTGTAGCATAGCACAAAAAAGCTGAAATCGACTGGTTTCTGACTCAGTGTTAAATATTTTCAAATGTGGCTGCAAGTTTTTCTTTTGCTGCTGTGTTGACATGTTTTCTCCTCTCCCCTTCAGTTAACTGAAACAGCTAAATCCTAAAGTCATAAAACAGCCCAGCCCATAGAAATCCCCCTTTGGTCACACACACACACACACACACACACACACACACACACACACACACGCACACGCACACAAATATCAGTTCAATTCAATTTTATTTATATAGCAGCCACCTAAAGGCACTTTGTTTGGTAAGGCAAAGAACATAAAATAATAACCACACCTTTTTTACTTTATTCCTGTCTTGATCACAAAATTGCTTTGAAGAGAGCAGCTGACCTTTGTTTGGTTACTCATAGGCACCAAAGATATTTGGCTAAGTTTGGGAAAAGAGCATGGTTTGATTTAACGTTACCAGAAAGCTCAGTTTTCCAGGGCAGCTGGGACTGATTGTCTGAGCAATCACCCCATTTGAGTAGCCTGCTGGGACTGGAGACATGAGTGTGTTCAGTGCTGTGGTGTTGTAAACATTGTGAATAAATGGACACTCACCCTGCAAAGCTGCCTGTGTGTGTGCTGAGTCATTGTCACAATAGAAGCATTTATTATTTCATTTTTATGGTGATTGATTTCAAATAATCTGCTATTTTTAAATCCCTTGTCCAACTTATTGCATCCTTAATTTTGTAAAGTTGACATTACACACTTGAAAGAGAATATTAAGCCTTAGATATCAGAGACATCAGAGTCACACAGTGGTTGAAGATAGCAACAAAACTTAATGTTAAAAATTATTGTAAATGTGTAAAATGATAAACAGGCAATAAAGACAGAGTCACTGGTCTACTATCAGTCTGCCATCTCTCTGTGACTGAACTGGGGTCAAGTTATTTGCCAAATACATTTAAATACGATTGGCAATGACTTTATTTAAATGCTGCAGTCGTTCTACTAGCCTGTGCTCATCTACATACCTATAAATGAATGACTTACTTTCATACGACATACTAAACAATGCAAATATATTAAATAAAACAAATTAATATTAATGTACTTAAGCTCTGCTCATACGTGCTTTTGATTTACACATAGCACCATTTTGGGTGAGTAAAAGTAGGCACATTCAGACAGCAAGCTCACCAAAACCTTTGAAACTTGGTTTCTAGTGAAACCTTGTTGGTATGTTGTGCCTTAAGATGAGTAGTGTTGTGAAGTGAATTTCACAGACACACAGTCTGTAGTGTTGTGATTTATACAACCAAGTCCCAAACAAAAATCTTGGTCTAACATTAGGCCCCTTATCGTTTTCATTTGTGTCAGGGTAATTCAAATGAAGATATACATGGTTTGGAATATGATATACATGTGCATGCGTGACAGTGTTTCAGGACTGATCTGAACAAAGACAAGGACTTTTTTAGCGTGAGTCATCTATTTAAGACTTCTACTATCATGGAAAATGTCATTTCTACATCTTACTTTTGAAAGAGATTGGAGATGCATAGAGTGACAGCCATTTCCTTCATTGCTTGTTGAGACTAAAACCCATTCATGTCCAAAATCAGTTCATTAGCATTTCCATGTAATATGTCATCACTGTACATAAACTCAAGGATGCATCTCATGTTACTTCACTTTGGCATTCGTTTCACTTCATACAGTGGTCATTACTTTCAGTGAACCAGTACGGAAGCGCAAGATCTTCTTTTTAAGTGCATGTGAGGCCTTTATCTTGACAAAAGCCTTAGGCTGCAGAGGTGCTCCAGATGGAGCAAGTGTTGATGGGAGGGAAAGTCTTGGGGGTAATTGCTGTGGCCAAACCAGACCACCACTTTCATCTGAATCACTGGACAATGAGCTGGAATCTGGAGAGTCAGCCTCACTCATGCTCGACTCAGACTCTACCTGACCTGCGTGAGAATAATCATCGGTGGCCTGACACAGTTGCGTTTGGTCCCTTTCCAACTGAAACTCCATGTGCTGATGATGGTGGAAATGGTGCGAGGTTGTGGGGTAAGCATATGATGCGTGTGTAGGACGGGGTTTACGTGTGCGCCTAAGACAGCAGTTTTGGTTGCTTTGCACAGGTATTGTCACAGGTGGCTGATCAGCTTCATCTTGGCTGAGCTCCAAAGTGGACAGGGAGCGCCTGTAGCTACCGCTACTTTGTTGCTGCTTTTTGCTTCTGGGTTGATTACCGCGGCTCCCCCTTCCAGCGTTCCCACTTCCACTACCATCCTTCTCGACTGTATTAGACTTGCGCTCTGGAAACCTTTGTAAGCTATTCTCTGACTGAGACCTGCACGCCTTCTTCCCTGGCTTTCTGCTGGCACCACCTCTGTCTTCATTTGATCGACATTTCTTTGGGCCTCCTCTGTACCTTGGGGGTTGGATATGAAAAGCCGTGGGTTGCTGCTCCTGATGATAGAGTCTTTCTGGAGAATATGCACATCGGTTGGATTTGGACACCCCAGGACCTTTGTGGTGGTTGGTGTGGTGATGTGCATAAGCTCGGTTGGAGGTCCGACAAGGCTGACCTGGAATATACTCGGCACTGACCAGATGATCTTCGGGAGAAGATGGTTGAGTAGACTTTGCTGCTGCTGCTGCTGGAGGCGACTGGTACTTGGGGAGACGTTGGGATAAGTCAGGCTCAGTAGTGCTGGAGTCTGGTTGGACATCTTTACCATGTGGATAGTCAAGCAGCGTCATGGAGGCTTGCCTGGGTTTGGTATAAAGCCCCTTTTGCTGAAGATGATATGGGAGTGGGGGATCTTCAGTAGGCCCTATCCTAAGGTATTGCTCCTGATCTAGGTTAAGGCCAGCCTCTGAAGCAATTCCTTCTGACCACTGGGAGGGTGCAATGATCTCTTGAGCCAACTCCTGTTTTGGTAAATGTTGTTCATCCTTTTGGCATAAACTACTCTGCCTTACCACATTAACAACTCGGGCATCATGTGCCAGGCTCGTACGAGGCTTTGAGGGCCGTGTGGGTAGAGTTCGTCGTTGAATCACTCCAAATATGTAAGTCTCAACCTTTTGGGTTTGTTGATAATCATACAGACTGGGGTCAACTTCTTTCAATTTCCCTAAAGCACCGGTAACGATGGCATGTCTTGTCAGGGTGGACATGTATGTTTTTTTTGTCTCTTTCTCACCACTCCCCTCGGGGGCTGAGAGGGAACATGAGGTCACGGGGTAGCAATTCATTTCAGAAGATCCATTTTCCTTGGCTACACGGGCTTTCCCTAACAAAAATAAAAAGCAGAGGCAATACATATGATCATTCTGATGTCAGTTCTCACTTTAATGAACATTTACCTGTAATTATGAATCTTGACCATTGCAGATAAAAATGAAAAACTATGGACCAGTGTGACACTTATAATTGATACACAAACAATACAGTAGTTTTCACTCAATAATCTATTAACCTTATTAGAGGAATAATATGCCTAGACTCTTCCATGTGCTTAAACTGCAAGGATTTAAAATAAAACGTCAGTGTGATAACCATTAAACATGTCTACACCAATGTTTTGTCTTTATTTTACAGCCATAAGCTAAATTTTCAGGTGTCAAGAAAGGCTAGGGTTAGACCTAGGATATGACACTTTTTATGTGCAGTAACTTGAAAAAGGCACCTTTCCACAAGAGTGGAATTATTAGAAAACCGATAAAACATCGGCTACTGTCTGTCGCTCTATGTTATAGATGTGAAACTGAACTGCTTTTGAAAATATGATACAATTACAGTTCTAAGAAAAGTTGACATGTATGTCAAATGTAAATTAAAAACAGAATATTATAAATCTATAGTTTATTCATAATAGAAAATAGAAAAGAGGTCATTTTGAAGTTGATGGCAGCAACACTCGACAAATGGGACAGGGCCGTGTTCTCCTTTTAACAACAGTCCACCAGTTTCTAGGAATAAATTTCTTCATCACTATGGGGTTAAACTTGTCTTAAAGGGCTCACAAATGTGTATGACATGATCCACAAACACAAGCTAAGATTTACAAATGCAATGATTTGTGAGTCATTTTGAATACTTGCAAACTTGTGCTTCAGTCCGATGACAAATACAAAACAATCTGAATGTATGTAAATCGATTTTACAAATCCATAAATAAAAACCTGAACAACTAGAGCTGTTCAACTTCACAAGCCTGGTCATTTTTTTTTCAAAATGCTTCCTGTGGATAGCTCGTCCTTCCTCCATCATACACACCAACAAATATATTGATCAATTATAGATTAATGCAGAGGTTCCCAAAGTGTGGGGCGCGCCCCCTAGGCGGGGCACAGCGCCATTGCAGGCGGGGGCACAGTATGAAAAGAAAAAAACAAAACAAAGAAAGAATGTTTGGACACTGCTAGCGTAATGGACAGGTTTTTGACGGGGCTCCCACACAAACGCAAAGCAGGAGATGAAGCATCGCCAAATTTGTTTACAAACAACTTCCTTCCAAGCCAAAGACTAGAAAATATGGTGAAGCATATCTTCCCTTTGGCTTCACCTGCACAAGTTCCGAGGTATCTGGCATCTGCGGGATTTGATTCCCTGCCGTTGTAGTGTGTTACTGATGGTGACCTTTGTTACTTTGGTCCCAGCTCTCTGCAGGTCATTCACCAGGTCCCCCCGTGTGGTTCTGGGATCTTTGCTCACCGTTCTCATGATCATTTTGACCCCACGGGATGAGATCTTGCGTGGAGCCCCAGATCGAGGGAGATTATCAGTGGTCTTGTATGTCTTCCATTTTCTGATGATTGCTCCCACAGTTGATTTTTTCACACCAAGCTGCTTGCCTATTGTAGATTCACTCTTCCCAGTCTGGTGCAGGTCTACAATACTTTTCCTGGTGTCCTTCGAAAGCTCTTTGGTCTTGGCCATGGCGGAGTTTGGAGTCTGACTGTTTGAGGCTGTGGACAGGTGTCTTTTATACAGATGATGAGTTCAAACAGGTGCCATTCATACAGGTAACGAGTGGGGGACAGAAAAGCTTCTTACAGAAGACGTTACAGGTCTGTGAGAGCCAGAGATTTTCCTTGTTTGAGGTGACCAAATACTTATTTTCCACCCTGATTTACGAATAAATTCTTTACAAATCCTACCATGTGATTCATGGATTTTTTTTCACATTCTGTCTCTCACAGTTGAAGTGTACCT